ATATTTCTTAGGCTGGGGCACCTGGGTGGCATCTAAACATCTGACTCTTGATTTCAGCTCCAGTCATGATCTCAGAGTCATGAGATCGAGCCCCAAGTTGGGCTCTGCACTCAGCACAGAGTCTGCGTAAGACTCTCTCTCCCTCTCCCTCTGCCCACTCCGCCCCCACTTTGTGCATGGGTATGCTCTATCTCTCCCTCTAAGATAAATAAATAAATCTTAAAAAAAAAAAAAAGAAAAGGGGCGCCTGGGTGGCTCAGTGGGTTAAAACCTCTGCCTTCTGCTCAGGTCATGATCCCAGGGTCTTGGGATCGAGCCCCACATCGGGCTCTCTGCTCAGCAGGGAGCCTGCTTCCTCCTCTCTCTCTCTGCCTACTTGTGATCTGTCAAATAAAATCTTAAAAAAAAAAAAAAAAAAAAGACAGTACAAAAAAAAAAGAAAAGAAAAGAAAAGATAGTGGGGCACCTGGATGGCTCAGTCCGTTAAGTATCTGCCTTCGGCTTAGGTCATGATCCCAGGATCCTGGGATTGAACCCTGCCATCAGGCTCCTTGCTCAGCAGAGAGCCTGGTTCTCCATCTCCCACTCTGCCTGTTCGTGCCTTCTCTCTCCCTCTGTCAAATAAATAAATAAAATCTGAAAGAAAGAGAGAGAGAGAAACAAAGAAAGAAAGAAAAGAAAGGAAAAGAAAAGGGAAAGGGAAGGAAGATCTGCCTTCAGCTCAGGTCATGATCTCAAGGTCCAGAGGTTAAGCCCTACACTGGGCTCCCTGCTCAGTGGGGAGCCCATTTCTCTCTCTCAATCTCTCTCTATGTTCTCCTGCTTTCTCTCTCTAAAATAAGTAACACCTTTTAAACAAATTAATAAAGGGGTAAATGTCATTAAAAATACATATATTTACAAATACGCCTTAAGCTATACTCTGTAGTATCGCAGAAAGTGATAGGGTCAAGGCCCTCTCAATTTACTATAATTTCATTTTATTTTTTAAGATTTTATTTATTTGACAGAGAAAGACACAGCGAGAGAGGGAACGCAAGCAGAGGTAATGGGAGAGGGAGAAGCAGGCTTCCCGCTGAGAAGGGAGCCCAATGCAGGGCTCAATCCCAGGACCCTGGAATCATGACCTGAGCCTAAGGCAGAAGCTTAACAACTGAGCCACCCACGAGCCCCAATTTACTATAATTTGAAATAAAAGAAAAATGAGAAGCAAATTCTAAAGGAGTAAGACAAAAAGAAATTATGTTTTTTTAAAAAAATGCTGCATGTTACCTTCCCTATGACCCTGCAATTGCAATACTGGGTATTTACCCCAAAGATACAGATGTAGTGAAAAGAAGGGCCATCTGTACCCCAATGTTCATAGCAGCAATGGCCACGGTCGCCAAACTGTGGAAAGAACCAAGATGCCCTTCAAGGGATGAATGGATAAGGAAAATGTGGTCCATATACACTATGGAGTATTATGCCTCCATCAGAAAGGATGAATACCCAACTTTTATATCAACATGGATGGGACTGGAGGAGATTATGCTGAATGAAATAAGTCAAGCAGAGAGAGTCAATTATCATATGGTTTCACTTATTTGTGGAGCCTAAGAAATAACATGGAGGACATGGGGAAATGGGAGAGGAGAAGGGAGTTGAGGGAAATTGGAGGGGGAGATGAACCATGAGAGACTATGGACTCTGCAAAACAATCTAAGGGTTTTGAAGGGGCAAGTGGTGGGAAGTTGGGCCAGCCTGGTGGTGGGTATTGTGAAGGGCACGTATTGCATGGAGCACTGGGTGTGGTGCATAAACAATGAATTCTATAGTACACTGAAAATTAAAAAAATAAAAAAAATTTTTTAAAAAAGACAAAAAAAAATGTTGCATGTTGGTAGGGCAAATTTAAAAAGCTATCGTATACTTGCTGGACCAGGTAGATTAAGGGGAAAAAATGTGGTCCCTGCCTCCAGAGTCTCCAGAGGAATAATTCCCACCACTCCCCAAACCCATAAATGTAAACATTAGAGAAAAAGAGAAAGAGGGTTTCCTTTCTTTTTTTTTTTTTTTAAGATTTTATTTATTTATTTGACAGACAGAGATCACAAGTAGCAGAGAGGCAGGCAGAGAGAGAGAGGAGGAAGCAGGCTCCCTGCTAAGCAGAGAGCCCGATGCGGGGCTCGATCCCAGGACCCTGGGACCATGACCTGAGCCGAAGGCAGAGGCTTTAACCCACTGAGCCACCCAGGCGCCCTGAAAGAGGTTTTCTTAAACCAAAAAAATCAGGAACCTAACGTAAGTGGACTGGCTGCTCTAGGACAGAAGAATAAAAACTAGATTGAAAGCTTTTTGAGTTAAAGATAAAATTATTCCATGTGTCAAAGCATCAGAAGCCAAGAAGAGGAACAAGACACAACCAACATTCAAGAGACCCAGCTCAGGTTCTGACAAGCTGTGCAACCTTGGGCAAGTCACTTCACCCTTCTGATCCATAGATGGCTCTTCCATAAAAATGGGCATAATAATACTTTCCTGGCAAAGTTGTCTGTGATGATTAACATGAAATCACTTCAAAAATTATTTCATGAAACATGCCAATGTGAAGTAAAAAGAAGCAAAAATCCTTCCTCTGAATGGAATATAAATCCTGTGGTTAAATTTCCAAAGTCTAGGCCTGACTCACCTTCACAACCTCATTAAACTCCTTAACTAACCTGCAGTCATTCAAATGCGAGAAGAGTCATGCATGAGGCTCTAGGGGTGCGGCAGTGACTATTTAGTCAATTGTTCCATATCTTAGTGGCTTCATCTGTAAAATGGGTGGTGTGGAATTCACTTATATATCCACAAGATAGTGCAGGTCTGGGGAAGGGAGTGGAGAATTTACCATAAGTTATATTTACATAACCCTCCCCTCCTCCAGAGATAAAGAACCAAGTTCATCAAATATCACTGCTCCCTAGACAGAATTAGAAGACATCATTTAATCTCTTGTTTTACAGATGGGAAAACCAAAGCCCAGTTTTGAATTGGGTTGTAAACTTCTCAAAGCTAGACAGTGGCAGAGCTGAAGCTGGCAGCCAGAGCCACAGATTCCCAAGTCCAGTGCCCTCTTTACCAGATTTCCGGGTCATCCACAGCACACAGCCTGTACAAACACACTATCAACAACAAGACACATTACAATTTAATCAACAGCTAATGTGGCCTATGCAGGCAGAGAGGGTTTGTAGGACTCTAGGGGAAACAAAGAGGCTGAGAGCTGGGAAGGGGAAATCTTTATTGAGGGGCAGGAGGAGGTAGAATCCTAGAGATACTCAGATAAGAAAAAACTAATGGAAAATTTCAGGCAAAAACGGTTTAAAACAGGCAGTCTCGGGAAGAAAGACCCGATGTATACAATTTTCTTTAGGGAAAATAAATATGTGGCAGATTTAAAGAAGCAGAATAGTTTGAATCAAGATATAATTCCTAATTATATATAATTTCTCTTTTTGTCTCCTCAGTTTTTAATATTTACTAATAATTTTAATTCCCCAAACAATTCTGTCTCTCCTATAAGACAAGGTCCTCTGCAGAAACCACATCTTACATAGTGGTAAATATACAGACTCTGGATTCAGATTGCCTAGATTCAAATCCCTATTTTCCTATTTAATAACTGTGCCTTGGACAAAATCCTTCACCCCTCTGAATCTCTGCAAAATGGAAATTAACATCACCCCCATCACAGGTTTTGTGAGGATTAAATGTGTATATTAATCATTTTGGTCACAATCTAATAATGGGTTTCTCATCATTTTAGTTTTGATGTGCCTTTTTATTTCATGTTAAAGAACAGAAACTACCAGAGTATACCACACATCATAAGAACAAATATTGTTTGTTCAAAATATTGTTTGTTCAAAAAACAAAGATTTTGTTTCACATACGTGTGCATATATGAGTTATTTTGTAAAATTTAGCTCTTATGGTGGTTTGCTTTTAAAACTGTTGGGAAACCTGGTTGGCTCAGTCGGTGGAGTATGTAATCTTGATCGTGGAGTTGTGAGTCCAAGCCCCATGCTGGGGGTAGAGATTACTTAGAAATAAAATATTTAAAATAAAAAAATATGAAAGCCATTCAATTATCACACAGAATAAAGCTTCAAACAGTGCCTGGCATAGTGCCATTACTGTCATTGTTGCTATGACATACCCACCTACCAAAGTTGTTTGTAGAATTATATATGGTAATGCAAAAGCACTTCAGAAACTACAATATAGGGCACTAACATAAGTTAAAAGAAGCAAAAAGCCCTTCTCTCCATCTCTAACATCCACGCATGTAGAGCCCTATTCAGGCACATACATATTCCTTGTTTGGCCTACAATTTATTTGTTACATTAAACTGAAGAGTTCACAGACTTACGATTTACCTAACAGTGTCATGCTCTCTCAATATTTGCAGAGAAATGGAGGCTTGGTGCCAAAATCAAATTATTTATTTTTACTTGATTAGGATATTGGGGTGAGGAAGGCGGAAGTCATGCCCATGCTTAGCTGAAGGAAGCTAGTGAGTCACACACAGAAACTGCTTGCTCCCACAGAGCCAGGTAGATTTAAATGTGCCACAGACAAGGCTGGACTGACGGATACTTCAGCCTTTGGGTAGGGCTGAATCATTTCCCCCTCCCTATCGTCACCCAAACACCTCATTAAAAAAATAGCATTTGAGCCTCTTACAGATATAGCTCATACCAGGAAAAACTGGGAATCCCCAGATACAAACGGGGGGGGGGGGGTGATTCAGC